ACTGAGACACGCAGGACACCCAGGAGAAGCAGTCCAATAAGAAGAACAAGAAGAAGCCCAGCTCGAGCATCAGCAGTAGCAGCAGTGACATGCAGGAGCAAGCTGCGACTGCGGAGACCTTCCTCCAGAAGCACTCCAGGCGGTACAGGCGCTCCCTGAAGGAGCCCGCCGAGCGCGACAGGCAGAAGGAGTACGAGAAGCAGCGCCAGATCATCGTGGACGCCATCAAGCCGCAGCTCTCTCGGCCAAGGCCCTGCGGGGGCCGCACCGCCTGCGGACGCGGCCGCCCGGCCGGAGGTACCGCCGCCTGTAGGCTCCGCGGCCCTCACGCCAGGCGCAGCTCGCCAGCATCGTGAAGCTCACCGCGGGGACGGTCGCGGACCTGACCGCGAATGTCGATGAGAAATGGAGCAACCCGAAAGTGCGGAAGGGGCCCGACGCGGCCATCAAGGAGCAGGGCCGCGGCATGGCAGTTATCAGGGGCCAGAAGGAGAGGATCCAGAAGGTGCTCGACATCCACAAGGTGCTCGACTTGGTGAAGAGCATGGCCTGATGCATCATCTTCTAATTCCGGATACCGCTATTGTTTCTCGTCGTGTCTCGTGCGTTCGGGTCTGGGTACTACTACGCAGTTGCATGCGAAGAGTTGCGCGTGAATAGCATCAGTGAATTTGGTGTTGCAGTGTTGCAGTGGTTCAGGATGGCATCAATCATTGTCTCGGTGGTGTGGTGGTATCGGTGTAGCGCAGACGCCTGCGATCGAGTCCGTGGCTGCCACGTTCCAGAAGCAGGTCGTGGTGGGCGCGATCCTGTCCGTGCCTGCATTGTTATATGAATTTATCGGCATTGCCTGTCTGCCAGCAGCAAGCAGGCCGCCACACCAGAAAAAGAGACACACGTTGTTGCGGCATTTGTTCTGAATGATGGCGCAGCTTCTGCAGAGCGAACGAATTATGGGGAGTCGTCGCAGGCGCATGCTGGACGGTTTTCCACTGCGCCCATGAGGTGGGCGATCGTCGCTCCAGAGCAGATTGCCTCCGTGCATCGCGGTCACACGGGCGCTCGAGACTTCGATGTAAGCTCCAAGGGAAAAGAGTCGAAACCATGTCTGAAATTCTGGTCATGTGGAAGCACAGCCATGGGAACATCGTCATCACCATCAGCAGCAGCATCATCAACAGCAGCGACATCGTCATCCTCACCATCGCCAACGTCATCATCGTCGTCATCACCATCATCATCATCGCCCTCGCCATCACCAGCAGTATCACCACCAGCAACAGCAGCAGCAACACGATTATCATCACCAACGTCATCATGTCTACCCCCCCTCTGCGTCTTCTCGTCTTTCTTATCCTTTTCGTTTCTCCTTCTCCTCGTCCCCCTCCCCCTCCACTTCCCTGCCATACCCTCCTCATCCTATACGTTGTTCCTCCACCTCCTCCTCCTCCTCCTCCTCCTCCTCCTCCTCCTCCTCCTCCTCCTCATGTTCATTCCTGTACCTCCCCTCTCATCCGCATCCTCTTCGTTCGTCCTCCCCCTATGCTGCGGTCGGTCACGCACTTGTCCTTCCACCCTCTGACTCATGACAGGGGGAGTCCCCAAACACATTTTGAAGTCCGCGGGCGCCAGGGTGCGCCAGACGGTCAGGCGCCCGTCATAGCGAAAGGTGGGCTGCACCGGAAGCGAACACAGGCACGAAGCGGAAGAGTAAGAGGCGAGGAGAAAACACAAAGACGGAGCCCGACCAAATCATGTAGGTCGGCGCGGGACTTCCGGAGAAGTACACGAAGCTGCGCACGAGCAGAGGAACCACAAGCGCGAGGTGAAGGCCTTGTAGAAGCTGGCGAACGCCAGGATGTCCGGGAAAAAAGGATGGCGCCAAAATGTGCCTGGAGAGGCGAGCCAGACTTGGAAAGAAAACCCTTGGTGTGCCAGGTGGCTGGAAGTCCGTGGAACCAAAACACTCTGGCAAAACTTCGGCCATGAGGGGCCGACCGTGTGATGTAACGCCTTCACTGGCCGAAGGACAAGCCCAGGCACGACGCTGGAACGTGTAATATGTAAACCAGGTGATGGAAAACAGGCTTGGAAGGAAGGCCTTGGTGGCAGAAGGCTGATAGTCCGGGCACACACCGTACAAAACAGAAAGAGACCAGCAACCCAAGGCCAGGCGGCGGTCGAGGGGGCCAGGGTCATATTCCTTGCGGACAGAACCAGAAAGACCCGGCGGGGCAGCCCGGACGCAGCTTCCAGGACTGGTGAAAAAGGTTTTCGGCGGGCAGGGGCCCAGAGGGCGGAAACCCAACCAGCAGCAGTGAACCAAGAGTGGGCGAAAACCCGGCCAGCGAGAAGGATCAGGTGACAAGGGGGTCGAAAAGCCCGTCCAGCGCGGGAGAAATCTGAGGGCCTCCCAGCCGAGAGCGAACTGGGTACCAGGGCCAAGTGCGCAGCGGCCGCGTCCAGGGCCAAAGGTCCACGGCCTTCTCGCGTCGTGTCCAGCGGCCGCGAGCCCTTGGAGGACGTCCAAAATTTGGACAGCTGACCGCAGGTCGAATATGGCGCGCCGCCTACCCTCGTCTTGCGCCGCGCAGCACGCGCGCCAACCGCTGACAAACGCAGACCCAGCCTCGCGTTGGGGCCGTTCGACGCAGTCGCCAGGTGTCTCACCAACAAGGGGTTCCCAACAGATCTGCATGCGGGGACATCTGTCTATTGCTTGTGTCGGCCTCCCCTGCTAAGGCTGTCTCGCGACGTCCCCGCCCTCCTCTGGGCGCCCCCGGGTTCTCGCGGCCGCGTGCCGCCCCGCCCGCCCGCGCGGCGGAGGCGATCAGCTCCAGGACCGAAGCGGGGACGCTGGTCGACGCCAAAGGCTGGCCCCGGGTTCTCGCGGCCGCGTGCCGCCCCGCCCGCCCGCGCGGCGGAGGCGATCAGCTCCAGCGCCGAAGCGGGGACGCTGGTCGACGCCAAAGGCTGGGTTTGTGCGGGACTCGGCGGTCGTTTGTGGCCCCCAGGGTTGTCGGTGGCGCCGTCTGACGGCCGCGACCTCGACCGAGGCGTCGGGCAGGACGTCGAGCGAGGCGTCGGCACGGGTGCTGGGGGGCCCTGGGCTCCGGCGTACTACTAATTACCCCGCGACATCGTCGACGACGTGGTCGTCGTCGCGTCGTCCATGCCAGGGCGCTGAGCAGGGTCGGCACGGGCGGGGGTCGGGTCTTCGGCCGCCGTCGATGCCAGGCGACGGCGTAGCGTCGGCCGCCACTGGGGGCGCCCAGGGTTGTTGGGACTGGCGAGCTCGCCGTCAGTGGGCGGCGCACCCGACGGCGCGGGCGGGGCCGAGGCCAAGGGAGCCGTGCGCACCGTTTCCTGCCTCCCTGGCCGGGCCCCCCGCTGCGGGAGCGCCATCTTCGCCCTGCAGGGGCGCGTAGCGACCTCCAGCCACCAGGCGGCAGATAGCGGTTGCGTCTGCCTTTTCGGAGGCGGCAGCGGTCGCAACATCTGCCCGTGCGCCGTCGTCATCGCCGGCCCCTGCTGCCTGAAGGAAGCACTGGAAGGGGCCCATCTGGACCTTCGCACGTCACCCCCCAGATTGCTCGAGACAGGCAACGCATTGAGGGGCCTCTGTGCCCGAGCCGCAGGCGTGGATGAGTTCATCGCGATATACCTGCCTCCTCTCTTCCTCCCCTTCATCTCCTTCCCCCCCCCGCCCCCCCCCCCTCCTCCTCCCCTGCTGCTGCCCCTGGGATTGAGGGCGCCTGGTGCTGAGAGGGGCCCTGTGCACGGGCCACTTTGGGGGCCGCCGCCCCAGCCCTCGGGCGTTCGCCGCGGCGGCCGGCCCGAGATGTGACAGATCACGTCCGCGGGCAGGCCCGGCGGCGCGGGGACGGCCTGGTCCGGCGTGCAGGCCAGGAACGCGAGGGCGCCCGTGAAGAAGTCGAGCAGCTGCCGCCAGTGGTCCACCTTCAGCTGGGCGAGGGCGCTCACCAGCAGGCACACTCGGTCCTCCAGGTACAGCGCGAACATCCGGCGAATCACTGGCCTGCTCCTCTCCTCGTTGGCACGGTAGCGATAATCATCGTCGTCGCTGGCGAAACTACTACGCTCGTTCTCACCACCACCACCACCACGACAATCACCACCACCACCATCATTATCACCACCACCACCATCACCATCACCATCATCGCCATCATCATCCCCATAATCATCATCGTCATCATCGTCATGAGTATTATCATCATCGTTATCATCATCATCACCACCTTCATCATGAGTATCATCATCATCATTCTCATCATCATCAATATCATCATCATCCTCATCCTCATCCTCATCATCATCCTCATCCTCATCATCATCATCATCATCATCATCATCATCATCATCATCATCATCATCATCATCATCATCATCATCATCATCATCTGCATATTCATCCTCATCTTCATCTTTAGCTTCATCTTCATCGTCGTCGTCGTTGTTGTTGTTGTTGTTGTCCTCGTCAATCGTCGCCGCCGCCTTTGACGCTGGCGCCGTCGTCAGCATCGCCATCCGACACTGTGCCCCCTGGCTCATTGCGCAGTGTTCTGATGCCAAGGCCGTCTGATGGTGCCTGTAAGAGTGTTCTTAGGACCCCATCCTACTTGCTCTGTTTGCACGCGCCACCAAGATACATCCCTGGCGCTCTCCAACGCCTCCAAGATGCTCAAAATGACTTCCAAGGCGGCCCAAGAAAGCCATCTAGGCCGCCAAGATGGTCCAGCACTGCCTCACGAGGGGTCGAACAGCCCACAATAAGGCCCCAAGTGGTGCCGAACAAGAAGCATCCACGGCTCCCCTCAGGAGAGCGCCCCAAAAAATATGAAAAACTAGAATTGCTCTAAGCGTTCTGCCTGTCACCCTTTTTCGCCCCAAGATGCGGCAAGAGGCTCCATGATGTCCCCGAGACTCCCATTTGGAGGCGCCGAGCGGCCCCAAAATGGCTTCAAGGCTTCAAGACGGCCTCCAGCACGGACCAACAGGCCAAAGAGTTCGCCGACCGCCATAAGACGCCCGCTAGACGGCCCTAGTCTATTGACGGTCTCGGCTTCGCCTGTATGCGACACGCAAGCTCGCCAGCATGCTCGCGCGCCTACTCACGGATGAATCCTGAAAGCTCCATCTACTTCTCAGGGCGCTGCATGCTCCCGGTCACGCATCCGCTAAGCAAGCCTCCCATCGCCCCCACATCCAAAGTGATCCCCGGAAGGGGGAAAACGATAAAGAGGAGCGTGGGAGCAGGAGTGAGAGCCCACCTTTGACAGAACTGCTACAACACAGCAATCGCACCCCCCCATGCCGCAACTGCCGCCGTCGCTAACTTATCCCTGCTGTTGCTGGCCTCTCTGCCACTACCTCCATGCAGAATGTGCTCCCCACAATCTCCCATACTCTGAAGAATCTGGCATGGCCTCCAGAATTTGGAACCTCCAGCATCGCCAGAGTCCTTGCCGAAACGCTGCGGAACGACACATTGGAACATCGCTGGCGCAGTAGGTGAAATGATGTAATATATAGACGGAAGAATTCAACTACGCAGTCGACCAAATCACTGTGCTGAGCTGCATGCGTGTTTTGCGCGCGCACGTGTTCTATTGAAGCGTCTGTCCTGCGAGGAATCGAAGAGCCCCGTGGGCGGCCGATGGCTAACGGTGACGCAGCCAGGTCTTCCGCGAAACAAGCACTATACCAAGCCCGCTTCGGCGTTCTGTCCTAATGCGATCGGGTTACTTGATACATGCTTACAGCCACGGCAGCTGAGGGCGCACGGCTGCAGAAACCAAGTGAGTGAACGCGCGTTGGATGGCAACGACATCTGGCACTACGCCAAACTGGATCTCGGCCCACGGACGTTCGCACTGGAGCCCGTTGTGTCGCAGCGTGCAAGAGCCATCTGCGAGGCGACCTGGCGAAGCCAGAGCTGCCTCTCACGGCGGCACAAGTCATCGAGGCGCGTGCACGGGGGCGGAGAAGAGCTCCTCTCACGGCAACCCCCTTCAAGCCCAAGCGCCTCCACCACAGCCCGATCACGCGATGCCGTGGCCGGAGAGCCGAAGCCACCCCTCCCGCCGCCGGCAGTTCTAAGCCGCTGCAGGAGCCCGAGACCGCTGCGGCTGGGGAAAGGTGACAGCGGCAGAGACTCGGCCCATACACAACCGAGTCCCGTGGGCGAAGGAGGCCATGGGAAGGATCCAGGGGGGGGGGACCCGGAGGGGTCCCGGATCCTGGAGAGGGGTCCCAGACCCGAAGGGCTAGAGACCCGAAGAGGGGACCCGAAGGGTGGACCCGAAGGGGGGACCCGAAGGGGTCCCAGACTCGCAGGGGACCCCAAGGCAATGGAGAGGAGGACCCCGGCGGCTGACCCTGGATCCCCGCGTCCTGCGGCGAAACAGATTCTCCACCCCCTTGCCCGCCTGGATCTCGGGCCGCACGCCTTGGGCCCGCGGAGAGCCAGCTGGGGCACCCGTGCTGCTGTTTGGTGGACCTCGTCGAGCGCCATCTGCTGGCCAGGGCCACTGAGAGAACGGCGATATGCCGGGATGGACTATATGGGGACGGAATGATCCGCCTCCAGCTACGAGAGGATAAAAGACTTTGATCCTCGCCCTCGGTGACGAACTGCACCCAGCCGATCCAGCCCCTACTTCCCATGTGGCTTCCCATCTCGCAGAAACGAATTCAATAGTGTTGATAATGGGACTCTCCGCTAGAACATCCAATCGCCGCTTTCTCCCTCCCCGAGTCTCCGAGCGTGGCACTTGCAGCGTCTCCCAGGCCCGAGAAAGAGAGAGAGAGAGAGGGAGAGATAGAGAGAGAGAGAGATGGACAGAGAGAAAGAGAAAGAAAGAGATATATATATATATATATATATGTATATATAGAGAGAGAGAGAGAGAGAGAGAGACAGCGAGACACAGAGACAGAGAGAAAGAGGGACAGAAACAACAAAACGCTTCGACCGACTCGTTCACTTTCGAACGCACGAGTCTGACGAGAGAACGCACTCGCACGAAACCACGCGAAACCGAAACCTCCTCTCCCTCGCCCGCTGGAGCCCCTGGGCGCTTCTCTGGCCGATTCCTGGAAAAGCAACCGCCCAGGAGGCGACGAGGACACAGGGGCAACAAACACTGAACGGGCAAGCGCAGGAACAAGCGGGGGGGGCCGAACAGGCCCAAAACTCAGGGGAGGCTGGCGGCGAGGCCCCTCCTCCGCGGGCGGCTCCCTCGCGGTGGCTGGCCCTCTGCTGCCCTGGCGGGGCCCTGCGGTGGCGGGCCGCGGGGGGGAGGCTGGCGGCGGCGCGCGGCCGCCTGTGGCCGCGCCAACTGGGCGATGTCAGCAGTCGTTGCAGGAGTCTTCCCGAGCAGCGCTTGCGTTGAAGGGCTTCCACTTCATCTCTAAAGAATGGTTCATCAGGTGTAACGGGCTCAGGCCCTTGCCACCATTGGGTTGCAACCACTGCCGGTGGGCAGGATGCTGGGTTCAGGCCGTTGCTGGTGGGCGGGTTGCGAGTTTCAGGCCGTTGCCGCCATCGGGTTCCCGCGGTTCCCAGCGGTCGGTCTGAAAGCTTCTGGCGGGTACCGCCATCGGGTTCCACATTTGGGGGTCTCAATGGAAGTTTTCATGAGGCTCCACACGCACACGCACACATCGGGTGCCACACACCGAGCCCAACATCGCACTGGAACGCAAGGCATTACATAATAGAATTCCACACGCATCGGGTTCCACGCAACACACACATACACACATACACACATACACACGCACGCACACACACACACACACACACACACACGCACACACACACACACACACACTTGTTGTGTTGCGTCGGCGGCTGCGCTGGCGGGAAGAGCATGTGTAGGACATACAGATGCGAATTACGTCGCGATGCACGAGGGGGGAAGAAGAGGCCCGGCACGGGCGGGAGGGAAAGGAGACAAGGCCCGCCCAGAGCGGAGCCAAGCCGCGGCGGGGGCAGCGCCGGGGCAGCAGGGAAGCGGCGGCCGCAGGGTAGCCGGGGGAGGCAGCAGCCAGGAGGCGGCCGAGCCAGACGGGGGGGGGGGGGGGAACAGGCCCAGCGCGAGCTGGGGGCGAGCAGCACAGCGGGGCGGCCATGCGCCGAGGTCGGTGCGACCTCCAGACGACTGGGCGGCAGCCGGAGAAGACCACCTCAGGGGAGGGGCCGGGGGGTCGCCGGGGGCAGGGCCCAGCAGGGAGGAGAAGAAAACGAGGCGAGAGGAGGCGCCGAGATCCGAAGGACCTGCGAGGCGCCCAAGCGCGGCCAGCCCAGAACCTGGAGGCGGGGCGGAAGTGGCCAGGGCGGGGCGGAGCAGCAGGGCGGGATGACCCGCCGAAGAAGTCAGCGTGGGAGCACGCCGGCCTGGCCTGAAAACCAAGCAAAGGGAGGGCGGCCGGTGAGGCGACGGCAGCTGGCCAATCGCCCAAGCCAGAGGGAGCCCGGGAGAACGGTGAAGGGCACGTTCCCAGGGGGGGGGAGGAGGCCACGGGCGACGGCCCGACCAAAAACCTGCAGAAAGCCGGCAATCCGCCCTGCCAGGGCAGGGGATGCAACGGCGGGGCAGGGGCCTCCTTCTGGGCGGGGAGGCAGCGCAAAGCAGCTGCCAAGCAATGACAATCAGCAGAGAGGGCGCGCAGAAGCCGAGGGCGAGCGGCAAGACCAGCTCGCAGACGGCAAACGCAGCGCAGAGCGGCGGGGCCTGCGCCAGCTAAGCTGCGCGGAGTTGCCGCGAGGCCGCGAGGAGCTGATGGTATCTTCGACCCCGCTGGGCAGAAGTAGCCAGGAGGCAGGTGACCCGCGCGCGGAGAGCAGGGTGGCGACTGAAGCAGTGGAAGAGGCGCCGCGCGGGAAGCCCGGGTGCGCGCGGGGGGCAGCAGGGTCCGACAAACTAGATTGCACCACATAACTCACACCACATGGATGAGGTCGTTAGTTTCTACCGAATAGATTGCGCGATATAGCTCACATGACATCGATGAATACGTTACCACATAGACACCACCACACAGCTGCGTACGCGAACTCTCCTAATCACCACAAAAACGCCACCACAAAGACGCCACCACGTAGCACCGACGGTGCGCGGAGGCGCGGCAGCGAGCGCGAGCGCGCCAGCCACGTCGATCTTCGCCCAAGCCGCACATTACACCAGTCGCCAGTCCAACGCGCACCTCTGGAAAGTTAGCCGCGGGATTGTTTTGCGCACCAACGTAGCCCGCGGCCCGAGCGAGGACGCTCGGACGCGCGCTTGCGCGCGGGGCGCGCAGAAACGCCCAGCGGCGCAACTTGAACTTCCTGCGCGCAAGAAGATCCAGCTCGGAAAAATCTCATGACGAAGGACCCAACCATGTGCACTTGTGACCACCGTCGTTGCGGGCATCGCCGTCGGGGGATCTCCCCATGGGGCCACGAAGCATGCGAAGTGTGTGCCGCTGTGGGACGGGGCCTCCATGTGGGCGCTGCCACTGGCGCTTTGAGCGGAACGCACTAAAGGGCCGCGAAACGTGTGAGGGGTGCGCCGAAATGGGGCGGGGCCGCCACTGGGGCCTTCGGTGGAGCTCCCTATGAGGCAACGAAGCGCTGTACTGGGTGGGGGAGCCGCATGCGAGTGCAACCACGAGGGCCGTCGGTGAAGCCCTTTGGAGCACGGAGTGTCGTAATGGGCCTCACATCTGGAGCAAAATTGGGATGAAGGGTCCGAATTCTCCACATAATGACGCCACCAGAGTCCACCACGAGGAACCACGCGCCAACCATCACGAAGAAGAGGACCGCCAGCATCAACATCTCCTGCGCGCATCCTGGACGCACAACCGCAGCGTGAGGGAACTCCTCGTGATCACCGCGAGGCCCTGGTCAATGTAGAGTTCCCCGCAATAGGGCACCCCTCCACACACAGACACAGACACCAACACAGACACAGACACAAACACAAACACAGACACAGACACCCCCCCCCTGCACACACACACACACACACACAGACGCGCGCGCGCGCGCGTACGGCTCCACACACAAGGGTCCGCACCAATGGTTTCCCACGTACGGGTCCACACGTACAGCTCCACATGATTAGGGATCCAAGCACGCAAGGGCACAGACACTTTTACAATTACACGCAGGAAGGTTTGCAAACACACACACACACAAAGCACAGGAGCCAACACGCAATGGATACCACAAACACACACACACACACACACACACACACGCGCACACATATACAGCTAATGCGTATTGTTTTAACCAGCGAGGACTCCAGACATAATGTTTCTAGCACTAGATGGTGTGCAGTATATGTGGAGCAACAAATGTGATGCCATCCACGTGCTGCAATCTGGGTTGCGCAATACATGCTGCGCAACACATGTGGAACAATGTACGTGGCGCAAGGTGTGGTGTGCAATCCAAACAATGCTTTCCCACATCATCATGGTGTTAGCTCACGCGCGTGCCGTTCGCATCATGAGCAGAATGAAAAGAGATCACGATACAGATCCGCAGACCCAATTGAAAACAGGTGAAAGCCGATGCTGCACATGAGGATTCAACCTGATGCCAGAAGACAAAAAAAAAAACACCAGCCACGAGGAGCGAAAAAAGAGGAGGACTGAGGAGCGAGAGGAGAACGGATTGATGCACTAAACAGTTGCGAGTGCATTCCCCCATGATCCGGAAGATCACTCATGTAAACAGGCAGCAAACAACAGCAAACAAGGACCGCAACACAGCAAAGTAACACCAGGCAGGCACATACCCCACTTTCCTGACACGCCACAAGAAATGTGACTGGGCGGTATAAGCCAGCCGGTTCCGTGGATGGCCAAGCTACGGTACAATGCTAAGCTTCGTGAGCCACCACGCCAACCTTCCCGCTCCCGAGTCACGATACACACTAAGAAATGCAAGTGGATACCTTGTAAAACGGAAGCGCCGCATCCAGGCGAGAGGAAACCGGGAGAAGATCGCACACCAGGGACTCGGGAACGACACAACCAGGTTGAGTGATTGCGGCATGGCCGCCGGGAGACACGCAGGCGACGGCGACGGCGACGGCACGGGCCAGAAGCGGTCCCCTACGGAAGAAGCGGCTCACAGGACCGGGCGGCCAACGGCTCACCCGCAACCCGTGCGCAATCAAAACATACGCGGTGCAACATATGTTGGTGCCACTGTGGTGGGGCACCACATGTTGTGCTGCCTATGCGGAGCAACCTCCGTGGTGCAATAT